CATTGAATATAATTGGGATAGGAAACTTCTCAGGAACCTGGCTGATGACAGCGACGAGGCCATGACAGGCAATTCTGACTCATACCAGCAAGAAGCCAGTATAGGAGCTGCTCATTCCTGCCCAAGACAATCAGGGACTGGAACAATCTTTCAAAAGGAACGGTTGAAGCGACAACACTAGACACATTTGCATCAAGCCTTCAAACCCCTAGTGCATGATTCCCTCACAAAATGGCACTGGAAATCAGTGAAATTTCCTCATCAACACCAGGAACAGAAACATTGCAAATCCCATCTACATGCATAGGAGCCAAAATGATCAAAAAATTGATCGTGGGCCTTTAAGATTTAGAAGATTAAGAAGAAAACAAAATTGAAGACCGGAAGTTTAACATGTCATTTCAAATGATGAAAGAATCCTACCACTTCCAGATTGAAGAGCTAGAAATAAGTCGACAAAAAATGGCGGCGACGATGCACGACCTTCACATGTACTAAAGTTACGAGAAAAAACATACATTCAACTAACGCACTTTATGAGAATACCAATTAGTGCTAAATTCTGGGAATTATATTTTGCTCGCCTATAGAACAGAGTGTTAAGGCCCAACATACATACCTAGAGAGTTATTAATTTTTTTTTTTGGATCGTCTAATTTGTGCCCAATAAGCATGATTTTGAAGCTGATATGCTAGCTTTGATGTCAAGTGGTGGCCCTCTTTTTTGCTTCAAATCAGCTTCTAATTCAGCGGTTCTTCTTCTTCTATATCTTAAGGGCCCACGATCAATTTATTGATCATTTTGGCTCCTATGCATGTAGATGGGATTTGCAATGTTTCTCTTACTGGTGTTGATGAGGAAATCATGCACAAGGGGTTTGAAGGCTTGTGGCAATAGACACAAATGTGTCTAGTGTTGTCGCCTCAACCGTTCCTTTTGAAAGATTGTTCCAGTCCCTGATTGTCTTGGGCAGGAATGAGCAGCTCCTATATTGGCTTCTTGCTGGTATGAGCCTGAATTGCCTGTCATGGCCTCGTCGCTGTCTATGGGGGAGAGGGACGAGTTTCTGTTTAATACTGGAACAGTGCACCAGCCCATTATTTATCTTGTACATCATGGAGAGCCTGGATTGTCGTCGTCGTTTCTCCAATGGTGACCAGCCTAGTGTTTCTAGCATGCTGCCAACACTAGAGGTATTCCTGTAGGGGTCGCCTTAGACCACTGTAAAACACATATACCCCACAGTTACGAAGTAACAACGAAAATAATTTTGTGGTTGGGGGTCGCCACAACGCGGGGAACTGTATTAAAGGGTCGCGGCATTAGGAAGGTTGAGAACCACTGTTCTAACTGAAATGCGGCCGTACTTTTTGGGATTCTTAAAAAGATTTGTTGTTGTTGTTTGTTGTTGTTGTTGTTTTTTGTTGTTGTTGTTCCTTTATCAGACTTGCTGTAATAAACGCTACAATTTGCTCACTCGGACTCACTCCGGATATTAATCTGATATAAAGATATTGATTATTTGTAAGAAATATGACCATTGAAGTGTCTGGACGGCCATACATGTGGCAAAAAAAATTGTCCGAGGCATTTTGACATGATAAAATTTTGAAGGTTTTGAGATGAAAATCATGTGAGAATTTAGGACTCTTTCATTCTCCTTTTATAAGATCTTTATAAAAAAAAAAGTATTTTCAAATGATATTATATTTATTTATTTTTTAAAATATTTATCAATAAAAAATGAAATGGTACCAATAATGACATTATATTCAAACGTAAGTTGCTGCGCCCTGATTGCGTCTAATCAGCAGTGTTGTAGCGAGGGTTATTGCCGTATGGGGGCGGGCCAAGATTTTTGCAGTACCTTTTCCACGATAAAAAAAATTCTGCATCTGGCCAAACATGCCGCCCCTCCTTGTAAAGAAAAATCGTTCCAACCGGGCTGAACCCCCCCCCCAACCCCCAACCCAACCCCCTCCCTTGCAGCCAAATTGGCATGGGATTTTTTTTTTCTCATTTAAATCAGCTGTCTATATGCAAATTGTTACGGCTGCCGGAACGATGCCGGAACTGAAAAAAAAAACGTATTTCAACATTGTGAACATTAGTAACATATAAATACACTAATACAACTGTTACAAGCTCTAGATTAGGGGTTTTCCAAACTAGAGTGCTCACACCCTCAGTGGGTGTGACGTGGCATTTCAAAATATCTTATCTTTTTTTTTTAAATTTAATTATTTTTTTAAACGGAAAGGTGTGTGTGTGGGGGGGGGGGAGAAAAATGTTTACAAGCCAGGGTAGACATTACATTATCAACGTTTATAATATATTTTCACATTTCTTTATTAAATATTTATCTAATAAGTCCAAAAAGCTTTTCAAACCAGTTCTCTTTCAAAGGGAAATTCAATTATTTATTTTAAAAAAATATCAACAGTCCATTTGTTTTCAAATTTTAAAAAGCATTGCTGCATTTGAACGGGCCATGAGATTTAACGTGTCAAACAGTTGATAGGGCGTGTGATATTTAGTCAAAATTCGTGGGAAGGCGGGATATAGTACAGATTGAGCAACCCTGCTCTACTTGCTCTAAATTCTAAATCATTTAATTATATACTTTTTTCAGAATTGTTGATAACATTAATTGTATCAGTCTCTTAATTGAATTTTCAAACTCATGTCTCTAACATTGGAAGCCTGAATCACCAACTCTGACCAGTCAATGTTGAAAGTCATTTTGGCCAGTCAACGTGGACACAACGTCATCAGTCAACGTGGGCAACCGTTGTGGACAGTCAAGGTGTACAGTTAAGGTGGACGGTCAATGTGACCAGTCAATGTGGACAGTCAATGAGGTCAGTCAACGTGGTCATTGAACGTGATCATTCAACGTGGACAGTCAATGGGGACAGTCAACGTGGTCATTGAACGTGATCATTCAACGTGAACAGTCAATGGGGACAATTCCCGGTTTTGAGTTGCAGTCAAGCTGCAGCAGCTTTACAAGAGATTCCGCCTCAACTCTGCATCCGCCTCTGAAGTTTTAAGAGAATAGTTTGATGGTAGTGGTGCAGGCATTCCCGAAAATCTGTAAACCAGTTGTGACATCAGTGAATAGTCTGCGAGTGACATCTGTTGATTTGAAAAGGGGCTGCAGTACAATGATTTCGGCGATGACACCTATATTAAGGAGTGGGCTTGGCATTGAGCGCCTATCTCATATTTAACCAGTGACATCGCCTCTCTTGTGCATGTTTGAGATCCTCTACCCACGGATCACAAAATGGCTTACCACACACCGCAATGCAGATGACAGTAACACACACCGCAATGCTGATGACAGTAACACACACCGCAATGCTGATGACAGTAACACACACCGCAATGCTGATGACAGTAACACACACCGCAATGCAGATGACAGTAACACACACCGCAATGCTGATGACAGTAACACACACCGCAATGCAGATGACAGTAACACACACCGCAATGCTGATGACAGTAACACACACCCCAATGCAGATGACAGTAACACACACCGCAATGCTGATGACAGTAACACACACCGCAATGCTGATGACAGTAACACACACCGCAATGCTGATGAAAGTAACACACACCGCAATGCTGATGACAGTAACACACACCGCAATGCTGATGACAGTAACACACACCGCAATGTAGATGACAGTAACACACACCGCAATGCTGATGACAGTAACACACACTGCAATGCTGATGACAGTAACACACACCGCAATGCTGATGACAGTAACACACACCGCAATGCTGATGACAGTAACACACACCGCAATGCTGATGACAGTAACATTCACCACTATGCTGATGACAATAAGTCTTGAAAAGTCAATAATCCTGAACCGCAATGGCAACGTTATTCCAGTGCGCAGGAATTTTTTTGAATTGGCTGTGTTAAAGTTTTTTTTTAAAATATATACTATTAAAAAAATAGAAATTCCATACGTGGGAAAGTTCATCACCCACTTTGGATCATATTTTATTCGTTGAGCAAACATTTTAACTGACTTTGTTGTTACTGGTATGTGTTATTATATTATTCTTTGAATGCACGTGTAAAACGCCAGAGGATCTTTGCAGAGGATTTTTGGGCCCCAAGAAATTCCAAAATCCCCCCCCCCCCCCCCCAAAAAAACAACAAAAAAAAACAACACACATTTAAAAATGTGAATTTGAGACGCAAAACTTCCTTTATTAAAAAAAAAAATAGCAAAAACGCTATTCTTGCCTTTTGTTTTGCAAACACATCAATGATATTAGAAAAATCAAGCTTCCGCGGCTAATGAGACTAAATATTTAATAAGGCCAGCTCACCGGTTCTCTCTTGCACCTTGGTTGATCTCATTAAATGTGTGAGCAAAATGAGCTTTGCTAAATGACCTCGCTGCCTGGCTGAACAATGAAAATATTGACAAAGCCCATTTTTCAGCAAACAAAAATTATTGCAGTAAATTGAACGATAAAATAAGCTCAAACTTTATGATTTAAGCCCACCGTGTCTTGAATTTAGTCCATGATCTATGAGTAGGTTAACATAAAATTAATGTGCAATCAATTGTATACATATTATAGTATTTTATTTATGCTGTTCATTATATTTATAATTTTATTAAAATGGTATACTGGCACAGTAAATATAAAAAATATTATCAACAGAAGCAGAAGAAATCAACATATTTTATTAATTATTTTTAAGTTACGTAAAATTAGTTTATACGGAACTAATCATAGCAACACCAACAGAAATAGCCTATCAATGAATAGGGATATCTAATTATTTATAAATTTAAAAAAATGCTTAATACAAATTTATGTTTTGAAATAAATCCCAAAATTATATTTTAAACTCTAAAATTTTATTTTAAATGTGTTACAATATAAAAAAGAAGCTTTTAACTTCGATTTAAAAATTATTATTTTTTTATTCTTCAAGAGATCCCTAAACGTAACTGCATTCGATTTCCGCTACTCATATAATAAATACATTTTGTGTCTTTTAGCATATTGAAAATGGTTTTCTACTTTATTAGCAGTGGTACTTAGTATAAATTAAATTACTTACTATACTTATTAAGTAGCCCACGACACTGTTAACATTTTATCATGGACTTCTAGTTAATGGTTATTTATTGTATAACTACTTTAACCCGACGTCACAAATGACACTCAATGGTGGGGTGAAGACTGAGTGAGTGTGAGAAGCCCATCACCAAAAAAATTTCAAATCTAAAACTAAAAGCGCTAGCCGGAATATAATTACAACTTATATTAATGCTACTAATACTACTATTTACTGTTATTGATACTTTTATTAGTATTAGCTATTACTCATACTACACCTGGGATTACTGCCTACACTGTACACCTACATGTCGCTGTAGGTACTTGGGTAGAATTTTCAGAATGAATTTATAGCTTTAAGAGCTAGTTGGTTAGATAGGGCCTGAAAAATGCAATTCATTGATACCAAATTTATGTTTGTAGGTCAATTCTAAAGAAAGTTATGATTTTTTTCGTGAATTATTTTGGGATAACTCTGTTAATTGAGACATATAGGAAAATATAAAAGTAAAAGTAACTAAAATAAAAATTGGGCAGAGAGTTAGGAGAGATGTTAAAAAAGAGCAGTAAATTGAAGTTATTTAATGAATTAATGAAGACATCCATAACAAACCATATATATCCGTGATCGTCATAACATTATCCAAACAGACGTCATATAATAAATTCTACGGTACGCAAGATGAGCTCAATAATATTCAAAATGGCCTTAAAATTTCCATGTGTCATATTTGAATATGAACACAACATGAACAATATTCTTCAAAATATAGGGTCATGTATATCAAATTGTTCGTATTGAAAAGGGGAAAAATAATAAGTAACACATGGAAGGGTGAACCAATGTGTCCATTAAGAAATTTAATTTATTTTATATCTCCGACAGCAAATCAATATCTGAAATTAAATGTACAATATGTATATAATAGTAGGAGTTTTTCTTGCATAGGGGGCATCTTTCAATTCTATATTCTTTTTGCTAAGTGTAGCATTAGCTTTTCATAGAATCCCTACAATTAAAAAGAATTGTGCTGCTTTAACTATTGCCTACAAATTGCTAATATGATTAATATTATGATGTCAATGTCATTAGATAGGCCTTTAAAAAAATAAAACAAAGTATTTGTGTGAGTATGAATCATTTCAAAGTATCAATTCATCTAAATAATAAACAAATCTTAATTTTAAATCTATTATGAAGATAAAATATAATTTTCTTCATATTTCCATGCTACAAATGTGTCAGGTAGCTTAGACCAAACTCCCTGATAGGCCTATTATATGGGAGTGGAAGTTTCACTATTTAAATAAAGAAATACAATTAAATATCTATTCATATGTCTTCTTTGTTACTAATATGAATATAAACCTCAAATAACTTAAAATAGTGCAACATTGTTTATTAATCAGATTACTTAAGATTTAAAAATGATTTGCTGAGGTGGATTTGGCCATCTTGAAAATGATATCCAGGGAGGAAACAACCATGTGGTGACTGTTTTGAAAATTTAATAAAATCGTTGGGGTAGGTTGGGAGGACTTTTAATTTGTTCATTCTTGTAGATAATTGGAACTCTAAACAGTGGTTATCATGAAAATCGAGTCTGGTGGAGTCTCTGCGAGATATTAAATAGTACACTTAGCTTAATTCAACTTGATATATATTTTTGTTTTTCTATCGTGATTAAAAATCTTAAGACACTGTATTATTCAGCTTCCAATTCTCTTTAAAATGATATATCACACTACCTATTTAATAAAGAAACAACCACAAAACACATTTTTTCCCAAAGCATATGCAATGTTTACATTTTGAAGTGGACAAAAAGTTGAACAAGGGCACGTAACTCTGCAATTATTTGAAACTGGTTTACCCAAGTACCTAATGTCAGTTAAGTTTCAGCTAGGACTACAATTATAAAAACTGTCCATAGCTGTATTCTGCACTAATAATAGCAGTAGTAAGTATTTTCGGCAACACATCTAAGAAAGTCTCCTGAAAATTTGGTAACTTCATTCTATTAAAATAAAGCAGAAAGCGCCCATCCATTTAGTACCGGTACGTATGCACTGAATGGGATTGTTGATTTTAGATATTTTGCATTCGTATGTGAATGTGCCGAGGGGAGGGTGGTCTCAACAGAAAGTACAAACTATCCAAAAAAAATTAAAATTCTACGATTATTAATTATCATCCTGAAAATCTGACAGTCCAAAAATAGCATATCTATATCTCGAATGCTGTAAAAATGTCATGCAATGTTTTTTGTAGGAAATATCATAATGTTGCCATGTGTTTTCACTAATAAACTCGATGGATATCGGTCAAATAGTACTCAGTAATAGCAGTATTACAGTAATATTTTGTCCACTATATGACTATAATATGTTTAGCTGTATATGACGTATCCCCCTCCCCCACCTCTTAGGCTGCTCAAGTGATTCCTAAAATTATAAATTCTTAGCACCTATGCAATATTTAGGTTTTCACCAGGTACACTGTGTTAAATTCTAATGAATGAAATTCGAAGTAGCAAAAAAAGAAACATAATAATATACAATGTTGGGTAAAACGTAATAACTGCAAGCTTTAGTTACTCAAGTGTTTGCACCTAGACTGCTGGATGTTTAAGTGGACTAAAAGTGGAAATAAAATTATGAAAAGTGTAATATTTAGAAGCACCCCTGTAATGAAGCTGAAGCAACCTAGGACAGGGCCATGCTAAGGAAATTCGGCACCAGCAAATCCAGAAAATAGTCACACATAATATATAGAAAAAAGTGCCCCCCGGGGTAGCTAGTAAAAACACTGATTTTCTTTCTGAAATAAATGGGATTTTTATATTTCAATTCTATATTAAGATCTTATCTAAAGATGATTTTAGTGCACAGTGGGACTGCCCTCTTTGCCCCATTCTTATGTCTGCCTGAGGGCAGCATGGCACCTAAAGCCATGCGGCTTATATTATGGGACCACTGGGCTGGCCAAATGGTTGGAGGTCTAAACCCGTGCCACAATTTTTTTTTATTTCTGTGAGGTCACAATTATCTATAAATTATTTGATTTCATTGGGTTTTGTGTGTGTAAGGGGGGGGGGGGGCAAAAAGCTTCTTGTATGTATGCATTAGGGGGATGTCCAAAAAGTATGAGACCAAGGGAAGGGGGGTGTTCGCAAATTTGATTTTGTGTATGTACTAAATGGATGACCCCAAATTTGGAAAGTTGGTCACAGTTTTTCGGAAATTAAATACCATACAGAGATAAATAAGGGGCTTTAAAAAATTCACACAAAAAATCACAACTCCACTCCTATAGAAGCTATAAAGATGATTGATGTTTTTAATTAAGATTATTGTTATAGACAGCCTTTATAATGGTGTATCTTTTATGGCAATCAGACAATATTTAAATTTTATGTCAAAGTCAAAGTACCAAGTTGTAGTAGTCTTATTAAGTTAAGTAGTATACTGTAAATTTTAGGCATAGGCCTACATTTATCTGGTTGAATTTTACTGGCCAACTTAATGTAATAATGTAATAGAAAATGGATTGCAGAGCCGCTCAATAAAAAAATGTTTGACCAGAAGCATATTGATACACATCCGTTTTTAAAAAAAATTAATAGAGTAATAAACAGGTTAATTTTATTAACTTAAAAGTTAGGCTTCATTGAATCAATCATTTATAATTGTATACTTCATCATGGATTTATTGCAATGTAAAATACAATTTGGTGGGCATAGCTTGTCTTAATGCAATTTATACAGTACTCAAAAACATGAAACTTGATCGAAAAAAGCTCAGTTGGCTCTGAACAAAATTTATGTTGTTAACTTAAAATTTTTTTAGTAAAACAATAGAAGTCAAGAAGATAATAATTTTTTTTTTTTTTTCAGTGGTGTCTCCCCCTTACACATTATACATGGGATTTGACAAAAATGAAAGTAAGTTTTACCTCTGATTCAAAATAGTTGGATTAAATAAAAGCTTAGTTCTTTTTTGTATTTGTAGTCCTAATATTCATGGTTATTTAAAAAACAAAAGTTTAAAAAAATGTTTTTTTAAAAATATAATAAACATTTTAATAGTGGAAGATAAATGATGGTCGAAAAATTTTGAAGTTGAAGATACTAAAATTTAGTTGACCAAGGCTTTAAAGATCAAAAAAAGAATTAATTGGTATTATTGCTAAAAAATTTGAGTTAACTTTTATTATACCGGTATTAATTTTTTTGTATAGGGTATTTACATTCATGAAAATTGTATATGCAAATTTTAATAATTATTTAAATTTATTAGGAGATCTGAAGAATCTCATTCAATTTCTAAATAAGGCAAATTAAAATAATTTGTTTTAAATTTTAAGATGAAGAGCTGATCAGATGGGGCTGGCCTGAAGATGTTTGGTAAGTAACCAATGTAGGTGGCTGTTAAACTTAATTTTTGAACTGCTGTTAATGCATTGAGGTACAGTGGATAATCTGTTATATTTATAGTAGGGTTATATTTATAGTAGGTCTTTTTTTTTAAAATGCAAGCAATGAGTTAACTTTAAATATTGAAAGAAATGGTTCACTACAGTGTTGATAAAGTTTTAATAATTTTATTTCCTAATTATTTACAATTGATTATTTAAACATTGAATATGAAATCTTTCAATTTAGAATGTATAATAACAATTTCTTTAGAATATTTTTCTATAACTTGTGTCAATAATCAGGTTCCACGTGGACAAGCTTTCATCAGCACACGTTTATCTCAGATTACATCCGGTAAGAGTTTATTCCAAACTATTTTCTAAAAATGATTTTGTAAAATGTAGGCTTTTGTAAATTCTCATATTATAAATATTAATCGATTATTCCAATTGATTCCGTTGTTGTATTTAATAATAATTCTGTAACTTCCCTACTCAAATCCACAAGTATTGTTTGCGCAAATCTTTATCTATAACAGTGAAAAGTTTACCCTCCAACTTATTGAATATTATTCAGTTTGTTTCTGTTGACAATTATAAAGATAGTTAAAACTAAAACATCATTTTAACACATTGCAGGGTGAAACAATAGATGACATACCACAGGCTGTCATAGATGACTGTGTTCAACTTGTTAAAGCAAACAGTATCCAGGGTAAATGTTATGTTTAAATATACAACTTGTTCCAGGTGTAGCTAGACCACAGACCCCCTTGAATTAAAAAAAAAATTTGTATTTTCAAACTGTTGTTTAAATTTAAAACTAAAACTTAAGTTTTTCAAGTGATATTCACTGATATACTGGTACATAAATGTAACAAATCAACAGAACATTTTTCTTCATGAAACTTTGAATGAAATGTGTTCTCTAAGCCTTTTAAATAGACTATTCACAAAATACACTTTATAGAGCGTTGTGCAATATTTATCCAGTTTGCTCTCTTAATCACTCGACATCTACACTTAACACCTGGAATGATAACTTTTATTTTATATGCACTGGTAAAGTCCCCAATTTTTTTTTCTTTGATCACAGGCAACAAACAAAATAATCTGGATGTTGTTTATACAATGTGGAGTAATTTAAAAAAGTCAGCCAGTATGGATGTTGGTCAAGTTGGGTTCCACAAAGATAAAGATGTAAGTTCATTATTATTTAGTTAAGTTTACCAACACATATCGTTCATACATTTAATTTTAATGCATGAGTAGCTTAATATAAAAACTAATATTAAATTGTTTTAATATAAAGTAATGTATCTTAACAAGGGAATAGTGTATATGAATAGATCTTGAACTTGTTTGTTTTATGCATTTTCATATGTTAAATCCTTAATTTGATTTCATTCATGAATGGAAAAATTATTGATTTAATAAAGAATAATTGTGTAAAACATAACTTAAATGTTTTACAGTTTTATTTGATCACTATGCATATATGAACATGCATAATGAAAATCATTGTGCATTTTTAGTTTATATTTTAAAACAGATGGATCGTTTTGATGTTTAAAATATTATATTTTTTCAATTTTGTTCCAGGTAAAGAAAGTGAGAGTTGAAAAAAGAGTAAATGAAATATTGAACAGGTTAAATAAAACAAAAACAGAAGAGCAGCCTGATTTTAGAGCATTGAGAGAAGAACGGGACAGGAAAGAACGAGAAAGCCAGCGTAGGCTACAACAAGAACAGAAACAAAAAGAAAAGGAAGATGAGAGAAGAAAACAGGAGCAGGCTGAAGTCAGGTAACTATAGTTGCTGGACGATTTCGTTAAAACTTTTCTTTCAAGCTCTATATATTTATATTTAATAATTTTTCGTTTTTTTTTAAATACGAAACCTTCGTTTTATGAGAAATAATGATCAAAGTGTATGAAAATAGCTTTTTTTTTCCCCATAGGTCATATAGTTCATTGATGAAAGCTGAAAATATGAAAACAAATAGGGTGAGTAATGAATTGCTGATAATCACTGATATAATATTGAACTTGTCATTTCTTAAGAACCATAATACCTTTCTTATAAATTACATTTCTTTAAGATCCATATGTCTCTTGTCTATTAAAAAAGTCCATTAATTAGATGTAGAATAGTTGATTTTATTTAAATGTGTTTAATTTGATTGTTTGTCTAAGGGGCATAATTTCTAGATCTTCATGAAACATTTTATGTTTTAAAAAAATCATATTAAAAAGAAATGCTATTCAATTAAATGATTCTCCTTTTTAGACACATCACTTATTGGTATTTCATGTGTGCAGTGTAAATGCAGTTCACATACGTTACACATTAAGTCTTTACTTTTCAATTTTCATGCTCACTAGACTTGTGATTGTAAAAACCATGATTTAGAAAATAGAAATTGTATTGAATTAATAATAATAATAATAATAATAAGTGGTCTTATATAGCGCGGTACCCCGGCCTAGGGCTGGGCTCACCGCGCTGTACATATATAGCAAAGAGGCATAATCATAATATTAAAATAAAATAAATAAATGAAATAAAAACAACATATAATCAAAACAACACCATAGGTATATTCATCCACCCACACCAGACATTTTTACATTTGTAAATTGTATTGAATTAACATTTATAATATTCTTATTTTTCAGGACATCCAACTTCAAGGGGATGATGATGATTTTATGTAACCATAGTGGATATCAAATTAGGAGTTAACACACTGTGAACATTTTCATTTTAAAAACAAACCTGTGAAATAATTCTTGGGATTCTTAAGAAAAGATTGAACTATACATTTTTTCATTTACTTTTTACCTATTGCTCCTTTTTGTATCCCTTTGATAATTTATCTCAAAATCTTTTGAGACTGCAGTAACTATGGTTAAAATAAAATTGCCATAGTATTTTAAGCTATACTTCCTGCAAGAAACATTTCATGCTACTAAGGAGCTATCAGATCTGGTTAATGATTTATAAACTTTATGAAAGTGGAACTGCAATGTACCGTAACAAAAAAAATAAAAAGCATATTATAATTATGGAGACACATAACTTACCTACTATGTTTGTGACGGGGACAAAAATTGCTTTTAATATTAATGTGGTTGTATTATTTGCCTGTGGCTTGTCATAGTCTTAAATTCAATTATTGCTTTACCTGGTCAGAAAATAACTGAGGTCTGGCAATTACTTTGCGAGATATGTATCTTGAAACAGATATTACTTCCAATTATTATATTAGATTTAGAGAGGGCATTGGATTTACAAAAATAATAGTTTGATTGAATTCCCCAATAAATGGTGAATAACTTTGAATAATTAAAAACAACTAGTATTAGTACAGATGATGCCTTTGATCAGTCTTATTTTATCAAAACTATGACATAAATAAGAGGGATTTCGTAAAAACCTTCATCCACTTAGCAGATCTATTCTTAACATGAGCTGGAAATCTGTATTTGCAGTTTCCAATAGAAAAAAAATTACTTCACATGATTCATGAAAGATGCTGGCGTAATCAAATATTTTCAAAATATTTAGTAATGGTGGGCCATTGTATCTACTGATTCACGATGTATCAAAATTCAGGAGAAAATCGCTACTTCATAAGCATATATTCCAAATTTACAATGTGATTTTATTTGACAGAATGAAAATAAAACTAACATTGTCAATTGTTAATGTTTGTCATATCTGCTGTTGTTCATTCACAGAATGAAATGATTATTGCAGCTGCCACATAAAAAATAACACATGTACCGGTATTAAATTATGATATGCTTATTTAAAATTGTGTTCCACATGTGTAATTTGCATTTTACAAGTATACATAATTAAAATAACATGCACATTTTTTAAAAAATGACCTTATAGTTTGCAAAACTTAGATTTAGTAAATATCATTTACCAATGATATATGAATGCCTAGATTTTGGTTTTCTAGATTGTTATAAGACTAGCCGTTACCAGATACCTTCCTGAAGGAGCCCCTTTTTTCCCCTTAGGGCAGTGGTTGGCGAAACGCTGCTTCTGAGCCACATGCGGCTCTTTAGCGACCTGAGTGCGGCTGTGCCAGTCGGCCACAAATTGGTTTTGACTCTGAAAAACATGGTTCTTGAAAGGTACTCGAGTAAGAAATTCGGCTCACAAAAAATGTTTAATTGTCCTGCTGCTGATTTTTGGCTTTCTTGACTAATGAGGATTGCCGACCACTGCCTTAGGGCGAACCGTGGTACAGATCTGACAGAATGGATTCTGTTTGTCATGGCCAGAACCATTTGGATTTATCTAATTTTGTCACCATGCAAATAATTTGTCCTATAAATGTGCAGGTTGCATAACACTTGTCAAAGATGCCTGTCCTGGTTGACAACCACATGGGAGGGGGGGGGGGTAATGATAGTTAAACCATCAATTAATAGCTTAAATACGTCATGACTGAAATAAATTGTTCTTGTGCAGGTTGCATAACACTTGTCAAATATGCCTGTCCTGGTTGACAACCACATGGGAGGGGGGGGGTAATGATAGTTAAACCATCAATTAATAGCTTAAATACGTCATGACTGAAATAAATTGTTCTTGAGATTAATGAGATACTCTCTACTCTGCATGTTAATGTTACAACTCAAAGGCTTCTTTTTACCACATCAGTGGGAATCAAATACGTGATACTTACGGTACTGTACAAAGTCATTACCAAAGAAAATCTTAAAGTTTAAGACTGTCATTTAGGAACATCACTGTCACTGCCAGGGTCGGCGCTAGGAGGGTGCGGGCCCCTGGGCAAATTGAATTTTGCGGGGCCGTTGACGTTATATATTCCGGCCGATAGGATATGAAGACACGTTGTAGTCGTACTGGGGCCTTGCTGGTCATCATGGGGCGCGTCATAATGGATATTTGTTCACTCGCTTAATTTCCGAAATTTCTATTTTTTCCTACAACAGTTCATCGCCCTGGCCCAAATTACTCATCGCGGCTCCATTTGTTACCAATATCAAGGTTGTCAAAAACAAATAACGAAAACACGAAGCTGAATGAGCCATTGTAATCTGGACACAAGCAAAACACAAATAGTGTGTTGACTGGATTAGGAACTATTGGGTATATTATAAATATACTACGGCCATGGGCACCCGCAGGGGGGTGGGAAGGGGGGGCACTTCCCCCCCCCTAGATTGATTGGATAAAACATTTTTAGACAAAAATAGACAAAAAATGTATTAAAGTAAAGAGAAAATAAAGAGAAAGTAACTAAGCTGATGTCCTGTCCGTTCGTTCACCATACAAATACGCTACAGTACATTAAAACTATATTAAAACATTGCTAAAAATTGTTGCCCCCCCCCTTGAAAGTTAATCGATTTTTTGCCCCCTAAATTTATCCACTTTTTTCCCCCCCCCCCCCCCCTCCTCCCTAGAAAGTTTTCTGCGGGTGCCCATGATTACGGCAACGTGCAGAGCCCCGCAAACGCGGTCGCCCACTTAGCCATCCCCTAGCGCCGGCCCTGCTGTCACTGAACACGTTATATTATTAAAGTGGTACCGGTACAACTGTATCACAAAGACATACAGTTGCTAAATAGTAAACGTATGTAACTTATAACTGTAACACACTTTAAGCTAAGCAATGTGGTGTTGTGCTTGTTGGCGTGAAATGTATTAATATTGTAGCCCCGGTACAATTTTCATGTAGGCTATAGCGATCATACACCAAATTAATGTAGTGCGGACACAGTATCCGGAAATTTGATCGAAAGAAATTTCGTCGACGGTAAATTGATCGACGGTAATATGATCGAACGGAACTTTGCTCTAATCTTCTTTTCAATTGTTACGGTTACAATTTTGCATCAAATTCCTTTTTTGAAGGAATTATTTTGTTTTACTAGTTAGTTGTTAGTTGGGCAGGGTGGAAAATCTGTCGAAAAAGGGTGTCATCATTTAATCATTTATGGTATGGCTCTTGTGTATGTGCCACGCGCGTGACGTATTTAGTTAATTTTGTTTGGCTACATCCCAGGATTTCCAAGAACTAAAAATATTTTATTTTATTACCAGCGCATTCTTTTTTAATGTGACGTCATAATTGTGTGCAAATTATTATTTTTTTTAATTGTGTTTTCGGGGAGGGGGGGGTCGAAAGCTGATTGTTGGAACGCAAAGAGGGGTGGGTGTTTAAAAAAGCATGCGTCCAAGAGGGGAAGGGTGTGTCGAATATAAATAATAGGCCCCTATAGGACTTTTTAATCGTATATGGATGGCCCCCCTAATCTTTTTTAGTGAATCTAATGAATAGTCCAGCCCATAAGAATTTTTTTCCCCAACCCTTGTCACTTCAGTTGAACCAAGGTCTTTTACAAAAAAAAAAAAATTATAGAGTGTGTTGGTGTATCATTATGTTGCATTTTTACTTAATTTAAAAACCCAATCAGCTAATTATTATTTTATTATCGGAATTCGGTATACACGATTTAGTTGTAGAGTCGTAGTGGAATCTAAATAATATATAGTTTCGCACAAAGCCTTATATTATTTAAAATATTTGTAGTTTTTGCACAAATGACATGATTGTGTTGGATATCATTGTGTTATATAAAATTAAAAATATAATTTCTCTTTAAATTCCTAAAATACTGTTTATTTTTTAAGTCTGGTTTTTAAATATATACGTATCCGTTAGTTTCGAAAGTGTAAACAAACAGATGTGTGTTACTGTGTTCTTTAGTTTGGTGTTCACATCCTACATTCATTTTAACATTACAAGTACAAGGCTATGTGGCATATTTTCCATACGTTTACTTAAAAGTCATACATCATATGGAAATACTATGTATGTGTTTAACAGTTAACATTTTAAAATAACTGCACAGGGAAGCATTTCATTAGTATTAGTTTTGTACATTTAAAATATTAATAATAAAAAAGTTAATTAGTTATAGTTATAGTATAGTTAGTCATAGTATAGTTAAAGTTTATAATTTATAGTATTATAATAAGTATAATACTAAGTATAATAATAATTAATGGTTAAAAATGGGGACGCCTGCCACTTTTTTATCGAATTTCACGAATGTATCCCTAAATTGATCCCCATGCCTAACCTGAACCCTAAATCGATCCCTGCCTATGCCTAACCTGAACCCTAAATCGATCCCTAATTTCTAAACCTAACCTAAACCGTAATTTACTGCAACTATAATAAAGACACAAAAGACGCCGTGGCAGCCGACCTCGGTTTTAGCGTAATTAATAAATTAGTAAATTAATAATATAAATATAATAAGTATGTATAAGTATAAGCCAAGCGGTACAAGATTTAGTATTTAGATTGATTTATTACAACGCACATACACTTCTACTTCTCTAATTGTAGATATCAGCAGTAACTAGTCTGACTAGCATGCTATTGATGTTATCAGTGCTAGACTCGCTGATGATTGATGAGTAATTCATTATTTTTATTTTATTATTATTTTTATTTTTTTGGAGGGGCTGCACTTTGACATAATAATAATTTAAAATAATTATAATAATAATAATGATAGTCGAATGAGATTATACTACTAATAGTAAATCTAACTAGTAGATTATTACTTGAATTCGGACAGTTGTTGTTGGATCAGAAAATTGGCCTAAAGTCTATATTATAAATTTATATAACAAAAAAGTATGGTTCAGAAAGCTGGGAAAGAGTGCAAACCTTTGCAAGCCTGCGTAAAATCCAATGGGAGTTGAAAATGCAAAGAAGAAGAAAACAAAAATAATCCAGTGTCACTTCTTTCTGGGATCTTAAAAAAAAGGGCAATTTTTTGTCATGGTGATATTTTTCATAATCACATATCTTGTGATAATTTATTAATGATTAACAATTTTATTATTTGTAATAGGCCTAATGTCCTTATAGGATGCTGGGTGACCAGGCGGTCTAAACTGAATCAATCCTAAGCCTGTGGATTTAAGTCCAAAAGCAAGAACATCACCAGCACCCCGGGTGGATGAGACTTGTTAACATTGGATGGCATTTCATTTTATTTTAAGTGAAAATTTCAATACCTTGTATCTTGAAGCTTAAATTTTTTGTTTGGAAATCATTCATAACAATTGAAATGTAGCAATTATAGTATCATTTCCCCATTTTTTTTATAGGACCATAGACTTGATTTGATAATAAATGTGAAATATTTATATACAACTAAAAGCATGCAAGGCACATCAATTTTATCAGGTGCTGCAAGGGCAGCATCTTACAATATGATTCTCCAGGTAATTTTGACAATATTTTATTTTTTAACCATCTTAGTGTTCCATAAGTTTGAGAGAGCAGTTTCTGTTAATGAATAAAGTAGTCGGTCATTTTACATTGCAATACATGTATCTTGCAGCTTAATTTTTTTTAAGGCGATCATTCATAACTTTTGAAATGAAGCAATACATTTACATGTCACTGTTAAATCTTCAGTTTGGCCTACGAATGACAACATTTGTTTTGAATGCATTTATTCTGCGGTATGTTTCTCAAGAACTTCTAGGCATTGTCAATGTAAGGTCAGTATTTCATTGAACTAGTGGTACATATTACCTATTTTATCTCGTAACAAAGCAAGCTCCTCAAACAGCATAACCAAATTCTGTTGCAAGCTATCTAAGACTTTTAAGGAAATATGTTAACATTCTGTAAAACCTTTTTTTATGGTCACAACAGGCTCACTCTTCTGTACTCAACAACACTCTTTCTGGCAAAGGAAGCTTTTGACCGAGCATGTCTAAGCAAATCAGTGCAGAGAGACTGGAGACAGGTCATTAATTTGTTGTGGTGCACGTAGGTGGTTCAGTTTTTGCAAAACAACCCAAATGTAATGTGTAATAAAAACCTAAATGTCTTACATACTATACTAAAATAATTTCAAGAGATAATTCTGAAACTGATTTAAAATAAAGATAAAAATCTTTAGATTGTATTACAATTGATTTAAAAAATATTCATTAAAAAAAAAAGTGAACCATTTGTTCTAGCATGGAGGCCCTAAAATTTTCCTTCATGTTAGCTTATGTTTCAAGTTTTAATGATTTAAAAACAAAATTAAAGCATTTCTCAATAATCAGACTATTAGATTATGACTGTCTGATATAGTAAGAAACTTCTGATAGCTGGAAGCTTATTAAAATTTGTAACAAAAAATTATATATATTTAAATACTGAGAGCATAAATTAAGCTTTCTTTTAACACTAAAAGTAAGAAATAATTTTCATAAATATATATATTTTTTTAAAACTAGTTTCCCAATAGCTACTGTTTGGTGTGGCATTCTGGGGTATATTTGGTTGTACATTCTTGAAAATCCTTCCAAAACCTCAAATGTGTCAGGCTATTCATTTGGAGTATTCAGCTTTGCCTTGTCCACCATTATAGAAGTACTAGCAGAGCCATTATTTGTTGTTGGTCAGGCACATCTGTTTGTCAAATTAAAGGTAAGAGTTTCTGGTTTATTTTCATGTTGTTATTATTGTGAAGATTCTACTGACATAAAAAATTATACAGGAATGGCTTCCCTCCCAAATAATTTAGCATAGATCATATTTTATTAAAAGATATTTTTTTCAAGTTGGCAAAAATTTATGTTGGATTATATATATAAATATAGGAATAGTCATAATTGTATAAACCTTTATTATATAGATATTTTAATGTATGTTTTCTTCACAAATGATGCCATATTTTTGAAGCAGTGTATTGAAGAAGATAATAATAATAATAAAGTTGATTTCAAAAACACGCCTCATCCCCAAAGGCTCGAAGCGCGGTACAAAAAACAAATCTATAATTTACGACATTTAAAACAAACGCAACACTACAAACTGATAAATATAGCGTCATAGTTCTGACAAGAGGATAAAAGTAAATTTTGACTTCATATGTGGATGGATGGCTGCTAAAAGTTGAGGCTTTTTATGTTTCTGTGTAAAGTCCAGGGATAAATAAGTTGCAACTTATTTTTTATTTCTATTCAGGTTATTTTGCTAGGATTATCTCAAGGCATAAAATGTCTTATTACAGTAATACTTGTGCTAACAAGACCTGAGTGGGGAATCATCAACTTTTCAATAGCCCAAGTAAATGAGAAGTTATAATGTTGAGAAAATCAGTAAAACTTTTTGTTTAAAATTCTTTTAAACTCATTTTTATTTGACTGTCTTTCAAATTATCATATGTATTTAATGTATATTTTTTCCTATTTATTGGATAATCAAGATATTAATAACAAGCATATTTTAGTTTTAAAAATGTTAAAGTTATTTGCACTTTTCAAATTTGTTTCTGTTTTTTGACAGCTTGCTTCCAGCATTTCTTATGTCATTATGTATCACACATACTTTACATATTACATCAAATTTACTACAAAAAAAGATGATGAGTTTCCTTTGAAGTCTGTTCGGGATATTTATCCTTCTCACAAAGTTGGAAAGGTATAAGATTTATCCAACTATACAAATATTTTATCAGTTTGCTATGCACTTAGATTTAACTTTAAAAATATTTCTTTCCACTTTCTAGTAAGATAAAAAATTCCCTTTGAAATGTAAATTAGTAATTTTATAAGATTTAACTCTTTTGAAGTGATCATTTGCCTTTTAACTCAAAAAGATAGTTATCAATCATCAATAATTATTTCTCCTGTGAAAAATTTAATTCTTTGCTCGCCTGAATCATTTCAGCCCTTCATTGACAAAAATTTGGCAAGTCTTACATGGAGCTTTTTTAAACAGTCTTTTCTGAAACAAATACTCACTGAAGGTATTGATAACGATCTTAAAAGATATTATCCCTTATTAAGTGTTGTTTTGCAGATGTGTTATCTGCTGATATTTTTACTTACCGGGACTAAATTTAATATACAACTCACTAAACCAAGATATACAAGACTAATTCATTCTTTTGTGAGTAGTATATAATCTGTGGTCTTAAACTTTAAATTGCATTGTCTTAGTAATTTTAGAAGTCCTATTTAGGCTGGGGTACCGTGCTATATAAGAGCACAAATAACAATAATAATAATATTCAAATTTTTTTTCACCTTATAAAATCTAATTCATCTTGCTTTTATTTCAGGGGAAAAATTTGTTATGACCTTTTTTGATGTGCTCAGTTTTGCTGATCAAGGTATGGCTTATAATGATAAAATGTATTTTTAGTTACTCCAAATATCTTTGTATTTAATTTTGTAAAAAAAAAATTGGTTTGGAAAATTGTAAGACATTTTCTGAACATATGGACTGTTAAAAAAAAAAAAAACTTTTTTTTCTAGGTATCTATGATGTTATCAACAATCTTGGTTCCTTGGCTGCACGATTTATTTTCCTTCCAATAGAAGAGAATAGTTATTTATTTTTCTCCCAAATCTTATCTAGAGGATTGACTGCAGACAAACAAAATCAGGTGCTGTACTTATAATTAGTTTTGTAATATTGAGGTTTTCTGTCAACATATTTACAAAGTTATCCCAATGTTACAATCATGTTCTAGTTATTAACACTTGTTATTAACAGTATCAGTAACAGCAATGCTTAATAATGTTTTAATTTTTTTTTTTTTTTTCAGGATTCCCTTAAATTGTGTTCTAATGTTTTGGCCATTATCTTGAAGATTGTTACAATCATCGGTTCCATTATTCTTATATTTGGTTACTCCAATTCCTATTTAGCACTTCATTTATATGGAGGAGAAGTGCTGTCTTCAGGAAATGGTAAGTTCTAAAAGACACCAACTGAAAGCATTAATTATACTGTATTAACTTTCAGTATGGCTAATATAATTACAATACATGTATATATAGTAATGGTGCAGACAATGATCGAAGACTTTTAACTTTAACATTCATTTTTAAAATTCTTGTTTTATATTTTACCTAACAATTTATATTTTTTTAAATAAATGAGAGTTTAATACCGGTACCCTAAAAAATACATTGCCAAGATGTATGTGATTGTTTTTATGAATACTACAAATAATAATAAGAAAATATTTTCAATAGTTATAATGAAATGTAAACAAATCATTATCATCCTGAGGAAAAGGGTCATTTGCAGACATTAGATGTGTCTAATAAGTCTCTTAATTGTGTTATCTGCCAAAAGGATTTTAACATGGTAACTTCTTCCTCAAATTTGGGCTGAAACTTTATTCAAAAAACCATATCAAAGCTAGATCCTGAAGGTGGTTATGTGGAAAGTGTATTTTAGAAATTATTTAAGCAACTTGCCTCTTCAGTTTTCCCAAATGTTTTTATTCTTTTTGTTTAATGAAGTAGGCTGCTTCTTCATTGATTTTGAAACCTCAATGAACTATTATTCTATTTTTTGTGAGAAAAATGACTGTGCTTTGATGTAACAGTAAAATAAAGGCTTAATTTATTATAATTTCATTTTCAAGTATATTTCCGCAAACTAAATATTGGGGACAATGATTGTTTTCAAAACCAGACAATAGGCAACTCTGTTTCAAATAAACTCTATTATAGAGATGAGGCTTGGAAACTTTTAATTCTTTAGTAGATCCCTATTTTGCTGATATGGTTTATTGTAACACATTATCTTCACCAGCTTTTCATTCATTCATTAGAAACATACTCATGATATGCGCTATTTAACCCCAATTTGATTATAGGCTGCAAATTTTAAAAAAAAATTATTTAAGTTTTAACTTTATCTAAACATTAAAATCTTTGCAACAGCAATGATAATAATAATATGTTATAATAATCCAGAGCTGGCCTCCTAGAGCTACCTGTGAAAACCAAACGAGATAAATACCATTTAGATGTGCAGAACAATTTGGCTTTAATGAGTTTAAAAATAAAAAAATTATTCCCTGAAAATTTTAAAATGGCAATCCTGTTTCTATTTAATGAAAGATAACATACATCGTAACATTTCATGATCCATATGTCTGATCGACATCTTGGATATAAAAAAAAATGAATGAATGTCTGTAAGACTTATTTTTGCACGACAAATCTACACCTGGAAGGCCACTAATGTGTCGCATCAGACTGATTGGAAAGCACTGCTCTAAATTTTATTTTTATTCCCAAAGCTGCAAATCTTTAAAAAAACATGAACAATTTGAGACATATTTTAAGCGGTTTTAACTTTAAGGATAGATAAATACATTTAAAAAATACTCTCTTCTTAAATGGATAAATGACTTGTGACAGAGTTCTTCACTTTTGTAGCTTGACATTGAATAGTTAATAGTACCTGTATCTTATAATTTTTGTTACTCTGTTTCAACATAGGCCCCACACTTCTCCGGTGGTACTGTCTGTATGTACTAGTTATTGCTATAAATGGAACAACTGAAGCTTTTGTCTTCGCAGCTATGAGCAAAGATCAAGTTGATAAGTAATTTTAATTCATTTTCTGTCTTGAGACTAATATATTTTTAATCATTGGTAGCAGTTTTTACATTTTAAAAAATCGTTGAATTTGGATTTTTTGGTAGCAATATTTGCAGTGCTTTGATTCTAGTTATTGTTTTTTTTTCTCCAATTTTAGATACAACAAAAAGATGTTGCTCTTCTCTGCCTTATTTCTATTCTCCTCCTGGCTACTCACCACCTTGATAGGAAGTGTTGGTTTCATACTAGCAAACTGCTTTAATATGTTAGCCCGCATTATTCACAGGTTAGTTATTTTAATGATCCCATGTCCTAGTTCTACTTGTTTGATAGACAGCAACCAATTAATTTGTAGATGGTTCATTGATTTTGAAAGTAAATGGTACTTATAAAATATTAATATTGACATGTTAAAATCTGTGTCCACTTTATTCCAGACACTCAGACACACACAAAAATCTAAAATAAGATTAAGTTCATTATGATGCTTGGACTATAAATATGATATATAATATTAATTCTTAAAAAATTCCATTTCAATTTAATAGTGACCTTCACAATATAAATCATATGTCTGCTGGAAATGTACAAATAAATATTTTTTATAATTAGAATTAAGTTTTGGTTTTAATTTAATTTAAGCCACTGGGTACTGGTAGATAAAATTTAAAGACCATAATTTAAACCTATTACAATAAATAACTTACAATTTTGTATGGGAATTGCAGCAACATTAATTAATGAAGTAAACAATTATGTTTAATGAGACTTTCTATGCTTATGCCAGTACTTGATATACTCAAGCCACATTTAAATGTACAAATATTGAGACAACTGATCATTATCAAAAAGTACATTTATATTTATAGTTACACGTAAACAAATAGTTTTATTACTGATACAGGTTATAAATTATATTCGTGAGCATTCTATTTGTTCCACTTAAATATCTTGAACAGATATAGCTTTAAAAGCTAGAGCCAGCATCTGATTTTTGTACGGTAATAAATTACAAAAATTGTGTTCCAGCATGTACTTCATAACTGGCTACTTTGGAAAATCTGAGCATAATCCACTAAGCAACATTGTGCCTGCTTTACCTGTGATATCTGCATTGCTTGCTTCACTTTTGGTCACATCAGTTTCTCAGGTAAATAATTTTATTATAATAAATTTTATAAATAAGTCTCATTATTGATAGTTTTCTTTGCACAAGTTTATCATTCTGATCCAGTATGGGTAGGTGCCCTTTGGCCATAGTAAAAAATGTGCAGTCCACAGTTTCTTTGCATAAAGTATAAATTATAAAAGGTGTTAAAATATATTCTGGTAGATGATAAAAAGTTTGGTGCTGGGCAGTGAATTAAATGGTGTGTTACTGTCTCATTTAGAGTTTTCAGTCTAATTTTATGAGTTTTTAAGTTGTGGAGTTAATTTGTGCACAGGTGATAATTATGACATGTTCCATTCTAAGAGTATCTTGGGGGAATTCATAGGGTCTTTGGGATCTGGGATAGGCATATGTGTTCTTTAAACACACATTTTCCCATACTTTTAATCTATTTGGTATATGATTTTTAGCCTCGCTTTTTCAGCTTTACTTTGCAGTTTAGTTATCAAGGATTTTTTTAAAGTTAAAATTTTAAAAAAAAATTATTATCTCCATAGATTTCATTTTGTACGGAGAGTTCCAGTGTACAGCAAAAGCTAATCCACATTGGAATAACAAGTCTTTGCTTACTGATGGTTCTTGCAGTTACATATCTCAAAGAACACAAACTTGTAGAGATTGTTAAAGAGCATATATTGAAACAAAAAAATAAATAAAAACTGCTGGTACATGAAATCAAGAATGTTCTTTTCATTTCATGCACACACACACACACAAATTGTAATACTTCATCAAACAATAAAAGTGGACTATACTGAATAGTACAAGAGGAAAGATAGTCAATAAGTCAACATTGTGTTATTGTATTTATGAAAACAATATTTAATAATACTTTAATTTATAGAAAAATTCAGTCTCATTCTCATATTTTAAATCTATACAAGCAGTGGAACAACCTATTAGCAAATGTAGCACAACAAAAGTAATTATCTGAGTCTGCATTAATTGGGCAGACCAAAATGGTAGAAGATTCACATTTTTAAACAAATGAAACAGTTTCAAATAACTGGGATCATGTAATTGATGCCATATTTACCTTATGTCACTGGACACATTATTATACTAATATGCAAATCAAGCATTCTACCAACAATTTTTGTTAAGATTTTGTTAACAACATTGGAAGGTAGTCTTTCTTAACTTGATCCCTTTCTTCGGGTGGAGGCAGATTTGGCTCTATACCTTGCTTTTTTCTCTGAGAAACAATCCAAGACTGAAATAAATATATAAAAATAAAGCATTCTTAAAACTTCTTTGGATAGATAAAATATAAGAACAAGGTTATGCTAAACTTGAATAAATAGACAGGACAAAAGATTTGTACGTCTCGGCTTAGAGCCTTCATCATCAAACAAAACAAATAGAAGTAGAACAAGTAACAAAGCCCAGTAAAAAACTATGGAGGTATTCTATGTAGTTGCCGGAAGTAGGATTACAGGAAGTGAAAGAATATAAATATTGGTACTGTGAAAAATAAGGGAGAGAATCTTAACGGACCAAAATATTTAGGGATACTTAAAATCTAAGGAAAAAGGAAAGAAGAAATACAGGGAAAGTGAGAGACCTTAGTAGGAGAGTATTTGATTCATACCATGTAGAGATATGGTGCGAAAAGCTGAATAAATTTGTTTTCCATTTTAACTCTCTTTGTGGTGTTTGTGCAAGAAATAAGTGCCATAATGAATATATCCAATTCACCTTTATGTTGCTCTCTGTTGAAGTGTGAAGAGATGGGAAAGTTTACCTTGTTCAATATCCCGGAGATGTTCTGTGAACCTATCTGCCCATCTCCTCCCAGTTTCGCCTATATAACTAGGATCTCATCTACGGCACACAATCGCTGTATCACATTACGACTGACCCATGTGAAACCCTCTTTGATTGTAAAGGTACCTTTAGGGAGGCTAATGTTTTTTTGTTTGGAGTGTATAGGAACAAGTTCTACATCGGCTTCTTGAGCATGGTTTAGTTCAAAAGTAAGATGGGTCAGCTCAGCGACCATGAACCAGAAGGTCACCTAGATTTCTGTCCCGTCTGAAGACAATCAGTGGAGGGGCTGAGAATACCCTGTTAATGTCGGGGTCATCAAGAAGTATGTTACAATTCTTTATGAATATTTTTTTTGGCTGTAAAATTGTGAGAGAAGTATGTTGTCAACTCCTACAGTCTTCTTGGATTGATTACATTCGTCAAGTTCTTTTCACACGTTGAAATCGTCGTACTATTCCTACTATCATTGAACGAACTCAACTTTAATGACTAAGTAAATATAATACACATAACACCTGAATATAGCGCAGCTCGCTATCAGACCTAAATAATACCGTACACATCCTATCACTCCAAAGTTCCACTCAAGACTGCCGCACGACTAAAACATACATCACAATACTGCATAGACAATACGTCACGAATCAGCATAAAAATACGTCATAGAGACAATGGCAGGAAGAGCGTTCAATAACTATAAGAGTCAAGCGCGGGAAAAGCGTTCAACAACTAATGAACATAATATTCAGTCGCAACAATTATTAATGAATGCTCATACTCGACATATGTTACAATTCTTTATGAATATTTTTTTGGCTGTAAAATTGTGAGGGTTAGTATGAGTTTGGTTCATCCTCATTTTTGTTATGGTGAGGTTTAAAAGGGCCTTTCCGTGTGATAGTGCTGATACGATTGAATGCCGAGATAAGAGTAGTTTCAGGATAACATCTGGAGCAGAAGAAATCCATCATTTTATCAGTTTTTTCTAAAAAGTCTTCATCAAGCAACAGTCTAAGAAGTTGTGAGATGGGTAAAGAGTCTTTGGATGATTTGGGGTGGGAGGATGAATACAATAGGTAACTATGACAGTTAGTGGGTTTGTTGTAGGCAGATGTGATCAATCCAATTTCTTTCAATGTTATCTTGATATCAAGAAAGTTGACAGAATGTCCAGAGATTTGGGAAGTAAATTTTATGGATGGATGAAATGTGTTTAAGAAATCTATAAATTTTTGAAGTTCATTAGTTTCCATGGTCGTGATGCCAATGCCGTCATCAATGTATCTTTTATAAAATTCATTGATACAGCCAGAATATGCTTTCTCTACCATATATTCAAAATGACCCATAAATAGGCAAGCATAACTAGGTCCCATTTTTGTGCCCATGGCTATGCCACTAATGTGGTAAAAAAATGGCCATTAAATTCAAAGGAGTTGAGGGTGAGTACCATTTCGGCCATCTGATAATAGTGCCAGTGGAGATAGAGGAGTGTGGTTTATTTTCAAGAAAAAATCTCAAAGTTCTAAGACCATCTACATGTGGAATTGATGTGTATAAGGAGCAGACATCAAGTAAAAAAAGTAAGTGTTTTGTATCAGGGATAATGTTTAGGGAATTAAAAGTTATTAAAGTTAAAGCATGATAAAGAGGTAACAAAGGACTGAAAGACCCCATCTAGAAATTCTGAAATGTGTTCAGTGGGGCAAGCAACAATGACAGCACCGCCCTTATCAGCATGTTTAATTATAATGTCGTTACGTTTACGTAACATAGACAGCGCTTGAGATTCTTGTTTAGAGAGGTTGGAATGTCGAAGTTTAAGGAGAGAGAAATTGTTGAGATGATGGTTAGTACTACTGATGTAGAGATCTAAAGCTTTCGACTGATCCGAGGGTGGTGTCCTGGTGGATTTACATTGTCTCTGAAAGGAGATCATTTCATCCTCCTGTTGTGTGCTCTCTCTACCATGAAAGTAGTAATGCAATCTCAAAGATCCAAAATAGTAATGAGAGTCAGCTAGTAACTGATAGCGGTCAATGCTGATAAAACAAATGGGATAGATAACACTGTTGATAAAACAAATGGATTCAATATAAGTTATACAAGACTAATTCAGGAGGCAATGAATTAATCTTAAAGACAGATTAGCCACTTACCCAAAACTTTCTACAGTTTTTGTAATTCTTGAAAAAATCTCGGCATTTCTCCCTGTCATAGGCATTTTCATCAAGGCATCTCATAGCCATTTCATTTTCCTGGATAATACAACAGGAGATATTATCACTGTATAATAAAGATTTTTCAAATCGATTTTTTGTTTGATAAGTCTTACATAAACTGGAATGGTGGGAAGGGAGAACAATAGTAAAAATAGTAGGTACCGGTATTTAATACTTGAGAAAAAATGCATTTCAGGGTAATTTTTCAAAAAATACAATTAAACCACTTCTTGTAATATTACATGTGGCGAAATGTCGTCTAGGGGTAGGGCCCCTCCGAACCGCCACAGAAAATAATATCAGAGTCTAAAACTCCATTTCTCTCTCCTTCAAAGAATTAATGAGTTGGTTGATCAAACAAATATTCTTTAATTATTTACAAAATAAACACAAACCAATATTAATGGCGTTCACAACATATTAATGAAAACTTCTGTCCACTAGCCAAAATGTACCCAGCTCTATAAAATTCACTCACTCACTCCCTAAAGAATGTCTTCTTGTGCTCATAATATGGCACCACACAGGAAATGCCTTGAAGCGCATTCATGACTGAGTCTAAGTGGTGCAATACATGGGGAATTTCCAAATGAAAAACATTAATGATCACTGACAAAATTATTTAAAAAAAACACATAACCCAATCACACTATCTCAGTGTGACAATACAGGAATAAAATGTATATTATATGTGAATAAAGTTTAAGTCTTTTTCTGGCAAAATATTTTACTTCAATGTCTTTTAACATGTGTTTGAAAATGTATTCATGTATTGTGTGTGTTTGAAAAGTATCAGTTTTGACAGCTTTTACAGCGTTTTTGCTAGCGTCTTAAAGCCTATTTAAGGAAAATTCTACAACCATAAGAAAGAGCAGATGCTGATATTTGGTTTAATCTATAGAAAGTCTATCTATCTAGCTTATTTTATTTAGAAAAAGCCGGTTGAAAACTTATGTACAAGAAAAATGTGTCAAAACACCAAGATTTTAGTACTTTCTCTTCACCATTGGAAAGTTCAGGTTTTTAACCATTTGATATCACACTAGCACTAGCCAGCCGACGCCTATGCGGTAACTACTACCTGAGCCTGTGTCATGAGGGAGCTTTTTAACCATGTTTGAGTCTTTGATCAACAGTAAGTGGTAGAATTCAAGTTTCATATAATGTATTAATAAATTAAAATGTTGATTAAAATTGAGTTTTACTTAATTTGTGTTAGAAATTAGATATATAATAATACTGAACCATTGTGAACTAGGCTGGGATAAACGTATTTAGTTGAGGACAGTCTAGCACTAGTCTAGCAATAAAAAAAGTTGATAAGACATGTTGCAGACATAATAATGTTTGATATATTCTTGTACCAGTATTATATAAAATTAAAACAAGGTCCTATTATTGATTTTATAGGGGATTTCTGTCCAATCAAGAAAATAAAATTGACTGCCGACGAGACTGTAAGTAGGTGGACCTTCGCCAATTATTATCTGGGGTAAGAGGCTTTGAAGGGAATCAAACATTATACAACACAAGATAATTGAAAAAAAATTTGTTAGCTTATCTTGATAGTGAGGTTGTGAATAATTTATTAAAATTTAATAAAACTTACTTCAAATTAAAAAATTTTCAATATCATTTCATCTTAGATGTACTAGTACTACTACCTACCTCATTTATCAGGCCTAATGACATTGGACTCCCCCATTTTTCTTATTCTTGAGTCTTAACATCTATGAATGTTCTTCTTCTTCTTTTATACTTTGAGGGCCCATGATCAATGAATTGATTAATTGATCATTCTGGCTCCTATTTTTAAATTGTATTTTTTTACACTTTTTATGTTGGAAAATATTAACAACTAAAAAGCTTTATTTTTATTTTTTAAACTTTTGAATAAATGATTTTAGCTGCGATAAATATGATTGGGCTTAAATATTATGAACGTTGGAGCAAATACATCAATTCCTGGACTTCTCTGTGAATTATTTTAGAAAATATAGGTCCTTAAAAAGGCCCTTTTTCAAAATGAGGAAAATCATTTTTTTTTTCAGTTTTACTAAGTCTTAAAATCTTGTCACATTTTTATTTAGATACCAGTATTTTCATAAAATAATTGTAGCATATCTTAGTATTAGTATCGGTATAAAAAGTTCCATCAGAATCAGGTGAAACCCTCCACAAATGTCTGCTATTTATTATAATTTATAGTTAATTTCAGTTTGGACTACCTACTTGTACCAGTAGAAATTTTTAATATAATTTAAAATATAACAGTAGCAGGTAGGCATGTGGAATAATACACTAATAATTAATTTAAAGTTTTAACAATAACAGGTGGCAATAGACAATAGACTTAATAGAATAGACTAGACATCAGGAAACTAAAACAACATTTATTTAAATTTATTTGGCAATACTAACACATTTAATCTGTAATTCAATTTTTATTTTACCCACTTAAACTTCCTCATAAATCACAAACATTTTTGCAAGTATCAGTATCACACTCTCACTCAGTTTCTCAGACTCAGTGATCTCCAAATTCATCAATGAATTCAAATTCAATGTGAATGATCAATACCGAGGATGACAATGACAAGGTCATTTCCTTTTACAATTCTGAAAACCTCTCAATAAGTGGTGTATAATAGTGCCAAAGCATTTATATATGGAAGACTGTGAACATATTATGCGAGTAGATCATTCATTTTATTATTATTATTTTTTTTTAAATCTGTTAGCCAACCGGTACGTTTATTTACCACTCTGCAGCTGCTCAATCTGATACTACTCCACTCCCTAGCTACGCTTACTGAATATAAATGACTCAACTCAACTGACCAGTAAGCATGGGTCATTTTGAGCGCGCTGATTTCTTAACTCTTTTCCTCGATGATGATTATTTTTTACGTTCAATTTCCGTTCGTCATCGGTGTCATCGGGCATTTTTGCATTAATTTGAGGTTTGCAGGTCCATAATTTGTTTATTTCATGGGGGCCGCCATGTTAACCTAAATGTCCCAAAATGCAATTGGTAGTTTGGGGGAAGTTGAATTTTAAGAATGGTTCATTTTGTTTAGATTTCTACGTTAATTCCTTGACTGACTCCTCTGATTGATGGTTTTCATCTTAGATTCTTTGGATATCAAAATAATATATAGGATGTTATTTTTTTCTAAAAAAGATTTACTTGGAACAAGTTAATTGGCGTTAAAGCTTCAAGTCTTTATTGAGGAAACCCCGGAGGGGGCCTCGTTTGCTCTTCAGGGCTTACCCTGTTCAGTGAAGTTGAGGTGCTATATGGGAATATCGAATGGTGAGGTTTTTCATTCGAGGGCCTTTATGGGATTTCTGTCTTAGTATGCTTGTAGTGCTATTGGCCCCTAACTATAATGCTGTACTGTAGTGGAGGGAACAATTAAAAACATACTGACATACTAAACTATTGTTGTCAGTGTTTCACCACTGTATAAACTTTGATCTCATATCACTGTACTCAGTAATTGAAGCATATTTAATTATGATTTGGGCCTAAGGTTTATCAATGACTATGACCTGTCTTGTCTATGTCAATATAATTATTACTATTATTAATTATTACTATTACCAACGTCCAAAACTTGGAAGTTATATGAATATATTATATGCGGCAATATGCCTCTATCTATCAGTTACCTCTCCTCTATTATAGTTCAATCAGATATACTACATAGTCTATCCTAATTCTTAACCATCTAATTAATAATAATAGACCTATTTTTTTAGTATTTTTATCTTAATCATAATCATTTGATTTATTTAATGACCATATAAATATAATATATAATACTACACTATAGGCCTAACTTACACTTATAACTATAAAATAGTTTATTTTATTACTATTGCTAACCCCAAACTCCACATTCAAATTTTTAATTGGCATAATTAACAACTATTTCACTAATAAATTAGTGTAAGGCATTTAAATTTAAGGGCCGATTATTAATTAAAAACTTATTGAACTAAAATGCTAAAATGCATATAATATAAGTATAAGCGCTCCATTAATCATTTTATTAAATGACATCACACATCTGGGGGTGACACACATTTTTGTGATGAATACTTGAGTCTTTGATGGACTTGAGGTGTTATATGGGGTGTTTTTTAATTTAGTTATGAGGGAGGGGTCTAAAGTCTGCAAAAATGGCATTGCACTTTTACCATTGATGGCCTCTTATTCATTAGATAAAAGTAAAAGGACATTCAATCATCAATAACTACAAATTTAAATTAATGAAGAATGTCTAAAGATGCAAGTTCAGTTAATACAAGCCAAGTCTTAGTAACTCTAACCACATTTAAGGACCATTCCCATGCATAATAAATGATGTCATGCATCTGTTTTGTGAACATGTGCTGTGAAGGTTTCTAAATTGTGTAACAAATTTGTTATGAAGGTGGGGAGGGGGCAGTGGCGTAGCGAGGGTGTTTAGCACCCAGGGACAAGATTCGCGCCCGGGGACAAGATTCGCGCCCGGGGACAAGATCCATTTTTAGCGCCCCTTTTTCTTTTTTTTAACTCTCAAACCCATTATTTTCATCAATAAAATAATATCAAAGCACATTTTGGCGCCCCTAACGAGCTGGCGCCCGGGGACATCTGTCCCCCCTGCCCCCACCACGCTACGCTTCTGGGAGGGGAGTGTGTCCAAAACCTGCCAAAATGGCATGGCCACTAAAGTGACAAAGTCTCATCACTGTAAAACACTCCATTTTTTTTATGAGTGTTCACTTCAAGTGAATCAATACTTTCTGCTCATTTTAATGAGTAATGAAGCCAATATACATAGCTTAATAGAAAAATATATCAGAATCAATTGATTAATATTAAATAACTTTCACATCACTTAGCCTTAGTGTTAGCTTATGATTATATAATAAATTATTATCCAGACTCTCTAAAATATTTATAACTATTCATAGATTCACCATCCCATAATGTTAGAGAGGATATTAATTTTCATAAGTTTTAGAGGTCAAATGCCAATTGTATATTGTGGGACATTATTGTTTATTGTTATCATTTCTTACCTCCCATCATACTGACACTCACTGACAGGTTGAATATAATGATGTCATTGTTGATAACATCATCTGAAAATTAAAGGAGTCCACCTGTTTCTACTCTGGGGTTGCCCTACCATCCTGCCAAGCCTTAGGCTCTTCACAATCTGCAAGTAATCATGACAGATAAAAATTCTGGTGATGACAGTGATTTGAAAGAGGAACTGTCAGTCTGTAAGTTAATTATAAAATAAAACAGATAAAATCTACAAATAAAAAAACGCCTGTCATATTTAATTTTGAGATTTTTAAATATGATTAGTTTTTTTTAAAAATGGGGTTGTGGTGAGGATTGTGGGGTATAAGCATTCAAAATAAAAATTTATTAAAAAGCAAACAGCAGTCAATCTAAAAAAGCAGCTAAAGGAGAAAATCATTTGGAAATTCTTGGCTTTGGTTGTTTACTTGATTCACTTTGTAAAGTAATTATTAGCATTCTTTTTTTTTTAAAAAATGCTTTATTTGCAAAACTTTTTTTCTAGCTAAATTATTAACATTAGAATGAATTTTGAATTTCAGTACCCAATGATATTTAAGATGCAATTCATTCACACACATATCTAAATATATCCAACACAGAGTATTGATGACTCATAAACATCAACCCACAATACACCTACTACTGCCCTTAAAACTGACCCTCATTTATTGCTTTTCTTTTATTAATTGCTAGGGTGTGAAGAGTGTGGAGTTTCAAATTTTGGAGAATGTTTTATTCACGGTGGTAAGATGACTATTGCTCAAGATAATTCTCCACCACCTAAAGCATATCTTTCACTGCCAAAGGTTCTTGCATTGAAGCGAGCCAAAGAGGTTGATATCTGCTCATTGGAAGGTAGGATTAAAATTAATAATCAAGCTTTTAAAAATTTTTAAATTTAATTTTTTATTATTGATTAATATACTCCCCACTGGTTTTTCTTCATATTTTTTTTTCCAAGACTATCTGCTGTCATTTTTATAATGCCTTGTGAATTTTGTTCGGTTTTCATTATATTTGTATAACTCCTGCAACATGTAAATTCTTTCAAGAAACCCATTTGCTAATCTGTGTCATTTTGCCAAATTCAAATCCTCATCTCCCCTACATAAACAAACCTAGAAAATGCAACTTCTGTGTGATCAGAAGAACTATTCAATAAACCATCTTTCACAGAATTTTAATCAGTCTTGGAGAAATGTAAAATGCGCAAATACCTCATTTTATCCTCAAACATGCCAAATGATACTCATCTCACCAAAATTATTCAATAAAATGTATTAGTCAGGTTTTTTGATAGACAACACTTATCAATGGACATGTGTTGGCAGGAACACTGTAACTGGAAAGAGATTATAAAAATTTACTTAGATTTTTGTTTACTGTAGGTTAATCTTGTTTCATCATGGAATAAACTGAATAGATAACATTATTCACTTTTGACCCAGATGAATGGGCCTAATTTCTTAACCACACTTTTGATTATCTTTAGAAAATAGGTTTTGACACAAAATATTGTAGGTGAATTACATCATAACTTTCAGAAAAATAATTTCAATTTGAATCCGGTATAAATGAAAAATGTCATCATGTGTTCTTAATTTAACTATTTGTGGTCCTGGGTCTTAAGTTGGTAGACAAAAACAATATCATTTATAAATATATATGAAATAATAGTGAAAACTAAATGTGGAATTGTAATAGAATTGAAAAATACATATTTGAGTTAGCATCTTTTTTTGCTGATTTCCTCTGAAATCTGCTTTAATTGATATATATATATATTTTAAAAATTATTTTCTACATTGTTTACTTTTCTAAGGAAAACCCTTAAAATCTACTTACAAAGCACATTAAAAAAAATTTACAGACAAAATAATGTAACTGGCGTTTCAATTCTTTTACAGAATTAAAAATACTTCACTCTAGCATTTATAATGTACCTAAATAAACATAAATAAAAGTGTTTTGATGATTGACTATCATGTGACATTTACCATGACAATGAAACTTTCTGTCTGTATTTATTAGATATAAAACTATAAAATTTATAAAATGTCCTATTAAAATGTGCTGGCATGTTCTTAATTCAAGATGGCTGTCAAAAATATGTGTATACACTTCAGTATCTTCTTACTGACACCGGCGGATGACATTGTCAAGGGGAAACTATAAATTGTTACCACACTCATCACATCAATACTTATGAATAATGAACATCAACACATCATAAATAATAGCTCTTCTTTAATCTCATCATGTATGTAGGTATATCACCACACCACTTGACAAATAGGTATACTGACAACTCTCAACTCACGCCGTGGGGATTCACTGAAATATCCACACACTTCTTTGCTACTGTAAAGTACACTAATACTTCTCTACATCATCTTCTGTGAACTCAGAGCTAAATGTGCTCTAACTGTGTACCCCTGTGAACTCATTCTCGTCTCGATCTCTCACAACTTACATTCTACTCACTTGTTTATTGCTATCCTCTTTCATCCAATCACAGTTTAGGAACAAAACTACAAACTCATGGTGACAAGAAGCTCACACTAATAACAGTGATTTATAATACCCTTGACAATAGCCACCAGGTCATGTGTCGCACAAAACAAAGATACTAAAAATGACTCCATACAAGTTGTGTGAAATAAATATATATACTACCAAGTTTATGGCATTTTAATTTGTGGAGGTTGTGTCCACTTCTAAATGGAATTCATCTGTAGAATTTTTGAAATTCTAGCATGTGAACATTTGTAATTATTGTCTTCCTTTATAGCAAGAAGAGGAGTATTTGCTAAGAAACTTATAAAGTCTAGAACACTTTTTGGGCCCCTGGAAGCTGTCATCACACCTTCTAAACCACAACTTCCTCCAGGTGCAATGGAATATCAGGTTTGTACATATAGATTTGGAGAAACCTCAGTTTGTTAAATTTACATGCAACTAAGGTACATTGAAGTTAATAATTTTTTCCTTTTTACAAGCTTTACACTCATATTACAAAAAATATTATTAATATATATATATATATTAAAAAATTAACTAATAAATTAACAAAATTAAAAATATATATATATTCTTTTAGGGAATTGAATGACCTAATACAATCTCTAGTAATCAAACTGAAATCTCAACATTTATGCAAATGAGACATCCTGATTTTACATAATTTATGCATGAAACATTTTTTACACTTAGAATAAACATGTTTTACTTGCAAAATTTTGTTAAATTTTCTGATTATTGAAGCCTAAATAGTCCTAACCCATATTTGAATGAGGTTCAGTTTAGGAAAATTACGTAAAATATTCCCCTGTGACTCTTATGCCCTTTGACATATTTCAAGGTCACATATTTTTTTCAAGCATTTCTGTGGGTCACTGGTACAAAAAAAAAAATTATATCGAAAGACAAATCACTGTAAACTATCAATAGAAGTAGCCATTCAAATGGCAAGATGAGCAAGCAATGTGAAAGGCAATCTGTTAAGCTGGTGCGAAAACCAGCCAGCCAATCTCAAGGCTTGAATTATCGGACAGATAGATCAGCCTTTCTTTTTTGTCGATAAATTAGCCTCAGCCGTCCTACGATGTTTAATCGTTGATCTTTCTTTATGTAAGGTAACTTAACTATTTCTTATTGCCAGCTTTCAACTGCTCTATCAGTTTGAGAAATTGCTTGAAGCCTTTTCTTATAACAATTTATTTTGCTTCTCCTCAGCTCATCATTGAAGATGGAGAGCCAATATATTTGGACACTTCTGATGAGAACAAGTGCAACTGGATGATGTTTGTACGACCAGCAAGTAGATTTTCCCAGCAGAACACAGCAGCATTTGTTAATAATGGACAAATCTTTTTTGTAACTTGCAAGGTTAAAGGAGACTTTTATTAGTTTTTATATAACTTTAAGATGGCAATAAATATTTTTTGTATCATTAGAATCATCTAATTTGTGGTTTGGAATTAAAAATACTTATTTAAAACATTTTTTTGGGGTGATGACAAAAAGGGCTCTCTTCAAAAAATTATCTATTTAAAAGATAATGCCACATTTGTTTTTCAATTGGGAGGCGTTTATTCACAGCTGGCTGTGTACAAAGCTCAGCAGTATTGCCAGTCAATAAAGGTTTACTACTGCTAGCAATTAAAAAACCAAAAAAAAACAGAATGTACCAGTAGTGAAATTATGGGCCATATTGAATCTATAATTTTTTAACAGACTTTATTTTGATAGCACTGTTATTATTTTTGCTTTTATCTTATCTTCTAAGAAGATGATTACGTCCTAATTAACACATATCCATGGTTGTTTAAGTCTAGTCCTGCATTCCGATTAAGTTTTTAAATGGCTGGTAATAACGCTCAATGTTATTTCCAGCCGACTGCTTATAACGCCCAGCGTTATTCCCAGCCGATAAATGGTTCATAAGCATGATTTTAGGCGACTGGGAATGATGCTCAGCATTATTCCCAGCCGACTGAAAATAACCACTCTGTTTTTAGTTCATATATTGTTATTAAAATTCAATTGGTCCAAGCATCATTTGAAGACTAATGAAATGTCCGATCTGGAATTCAGATTATGAAAGCAAATAGCCATGAATCTAAGTGGTCTGATGCTAAAGAAGTTTAATGTAGTGTTGTTTGAACTAAATGTATTATGTTTGTTTATAGAATGTGCCGGCTGGAGCAGAACTACGTGTGTGGTATGCAGCTGCTTATGCTAAAGCCATTGGTAAAAGCAATCTTACCCCTGTCGCCTCTGACAAGTTATCCATTATATCTAATGAAGGTGAAATCTGCTTTTTGATGTTTTGTTTATAGAAGAGTATAACAGATGTAAAATATGTAAATTTAATTGTGTAGCTTATGAGTATGAGATTTTGAAAATTTACCCCCAACAATTTATTTATATTTAATCAATTTACAGCCAATTTTCTTTTTGATTTATTTAATGATAAAATATTGAACAATAAGATATTATTTTATAGAAAATAAAACTAATGTTTGTCTCGATATTGTTGCGAGCAAGTATTTGAATATTGCTTTATAAATTATTACCATTTATATTCTTTCTAAAGCTTACTTTTCTTGGAAAAATTTCAGGGGAATTTCAGGGGAATAAGTGAGTTGCTCGGTCTATGAGTGGGTCTTAGGAGATAATTGATAATGCTCTACAAATTCATAGAATAATGAAATTGTTGTTGTAAATCGCCAAGTTTACCGTACTTAAAATACTAATAAATAATATTACACAGCTGCATTATTTATATGATTAGTTTCTTCTTGAAATAAAATATTTTTTTAACCAGTACATTATCGCTGACGTCAATGGGACCACCCACTTTCAGTTACCAAGGACGTCACATTGTCGTCATTACAAAGAGGCAAAGAACTATTCTGAAATGCCAAGGACATCAAGTCAACGTCATATTTCAATGCTATATATTTCTTAATTTGTAAATTTATTGAGAAGTCCATAAGCAAATCGGATAGAGAATGAACAAATACAGAAAGTTTCATCTTCAAAGTTCTTTAATTGCTGAGTCAGCAAAAATTGATGCCCCCCCAAAACCAGCAGTAATGAAAGGGTTAATGTCATGTTTAACCCATGAACTGTGGTCGGCCGAAAAAATGGGTAGACTTTCTCGTTCTGTACTGTGGCAGCCGATAAAAAAACACGGTCCGATAGCAACTTCCAATCTTCCAATCCAATATTTAACCGGAATTATAGCCACACCCTTTTATTAATAATTAAACCATCTTCCAGTTCAAGCTGTTTCGTGATAACTTGAAAATAAGTACTTTTTAATCAGAGTTTTATATCGCTGTTTTTTTAAAAGCTAAAATGGTTGAAGCCATGGCTGGGCCTTCAGTGCAAGAACTAATAGAAATATGTTTGAAAGCTATGGCTGAGCCTTCAGTGCAAGAACTAATAGAAATATGTTTGAAAGCTATAGCTGAGCCTTCAGTGCAAGAACTAATAGAAATATGTTTGAAAGCTTTTTAGGAGAGTGATACTGATGATGATTTTAACATTCCCCATGACGATATCAGTTGAGATTATTCTTCTTGTGATTTTATACTAGTCTTAGTGATACTGAAGTAGGCCTACTGAGGCTACTGTTAGACTTTGAGCCAGGCCTGGAGGTTGGGCAAGGACTAACTGAATTTTAGTCACAGAAGCTACAGATTATAGTTCAGAACTAATAAGATTATAGTTCAGAACTAATAAATTTTATAGTTAAACAACCCAAATCAGTTCCACAGTTCCTTTTTAAATGTTTACTAGTCACTAATAACTATTTTGCCTGAGATTTCGTATTTTGTACTTGGTTTTAGCAGTGGTCCCAGTTTCTTATATAAATGACCTAAAATTACTAAAATTGCTTTCAGAGGTTTAATTGCAATCAAAACCTTAGCAAACTATACATTTTCTGAAAGATAAGGGAATTGGCTACAACATTTAGATTTTTGTTTTAAGTGTATCTATAAAAATTAATGATGTTATGAGCAATTGAAAGCAAGACATTTCGTCAATTTTTTTTTTGTTGAGAGCTCCAAGGTCAAGGACACTGAGCAAAATTTTTTTACGGGGTGGGCAATATGGCCAACTTTATCCCCATCCAATTACCTTTCTAAAAATAAATAATTATAGGGGTCTTGTATCAATATTTCTATGTCATTTAATGCAATTTCAAAATGCACTCAAAACGCTCTGAAAGGCTCCACACCACAGAATGATGCAAGCCACAGTTCTTGGGTTAACACATTTTTATCTCTAAAACATGTTTAATTTATATTCATCTGCCATTGTTTACCACATAATATAAATCAAAGATACCTGAAGTAGATGGTGCCACTAAGCAGTCATTTTAAGCACCAGCATAATGGCATCTCAGATATTTTTGGTACAGTGTTGCTTACTTTGGCATATTACATTATGGGGTCGACTTATTAGTGGGCTGTACACTTTCCAGGTCTTTCCCATCCAAAGCTAGGAGCATCAGCTTATGAACAAACTGGCTTTAGGGACAGTGTCTACTGTAAGCACTTAAAGATTTTGCTAAATTTTTAAAAACTCAGGTTTGTATATTACATAGACCAATAATGAAATGTCAAAATTATGTTTATTTATAGGAAAGGACATGCCCCTGAATGAAGTGCCTGCATGTGAAAAAAATGCTACGAAACAAAATGACAACCTAGGATTTACTGTACAAAGTAGTACGGCTAACAATGAAATATCAGACATAGCTACAATTCCTGAGAGTCTGACCTCTAAAAATGATAACCCACCGCCTGTTCTCCTTGAAAAAGAAACGATGACACCAATTTTAACCAGAGATGTCAGCAATGGTTACACCTGCAATGTATGCTCTATGTCATTTGTCCGACCACGCCAGCTGGATTCTCATGTGTGCAAAGAGTTGGGAGATGCGGACGAGGATGGCTCAATCTCTGGCACCAGGCGCAGAAAAGGGAAGCCTAGAAAATTTTTAGAAAACGTAGACAACGGAGCTTACATTCAGGTCCTGAAAGTAGACAGCGGAGTTGATCAGGAAATGAATTTGAACCTGCCTAGGGCCGACATCATCAACTATAACGTTGAAGACAATGACCCCGTTGGAGAGTCACCCGTACCAACTAATGATATCAACACTCTGCCGTTCTCTGGTTTGACTGTAACTGGGGCTGAATCCAATGGGGGCACCAGACAAAAAACTTTGTCTAAATGCAAGCGTGGCCCTGGGAGGCCAAAGGGCAGTAAGAACAAAGCCTGCAATATATTGAAGTCAAAAAAAGAAAACGTAAAGCGTCCAGTGCACTTGTGCCAGTTTTGTGAGAAAACTTTCACTAGTGAAGAACAGCACCTCATTCACCTGGCTTCCCACTCAAGCTCCTCACCATTCCTCTGTACATTTGAAGGCTGTAATAAATCCTTTGCCAATAAGTTCAAGTACAAAAGACATAAAATAGTCCATGACAAACCCAATAACTTCCAGTAAGTATCCATCAAATAAAATAGTCCACGACAAACCCAATAACTTCCAGTAAGTATCCATCAAATAAAATAGTCCACGACAAACCCAATAACTTCCAGTAAGTATCTATCAAGCAAGCTTTTTTAAACTATATCTAGAGTCTATTCAATTTTTAGTTCATCAGTCTTATATTTAAGTTTAAATATGATTGCCTTAAAAATTGTAATTGTTTTTTTAAAGTATTATTTTAAATCCCTTAAAAACAACATTTAAAATTTGTTATCTTTCATAGGTCTAAGTCACAAAAATCAAATTAATAAATTATAATACTCCTTTTAATTTGAAACATTATCTCTTTCATCATAGTTTTCCTTTTTTAATTTTCATTTCAAAATCATTTCCTTGTGTAGGTGTAAATTCTGCCCAAGCAAGTTTAACCGCATCGATCACCTTCAGAATCATCTACCTGTTCATGATAGTAATAGGAAAACCTTCACCTGTGAGACATGTGGCAAGTGTTACCTGTCCAAGTAAGTCAATTGTTAACAGTTTCTTAACAGTTTTGATATTTCAAATTATTTATTTTTAATGCTCATTTTATTCTGCTTATTATAAAATTAAGGCTTCAAGACTATTTATTAAATTTTGTGCTGTTTTCATAATCTTGTTGTTTTGTTGCTTTTTCAAAGAGACACTGTGTTAAATCTGTAGGAATTTTTAAAGAAGTTAGTTAAAATAATGACATTTATTGTGAACTCAGTTTGTAATCTTAAACCTAATGTTTTTTCAGACAGTGTGCCAAAATAGTAATTGTGTTCTTTCAATGACTTGATTATTTAATTTTTAAATGCTTTGAAAAAAATAAGTCAAGTCAATGATTTTAAAAACAAAGGCAAATATCTGTATTTTACCTCCTGTTGCACTCAATAATTGCACGAGGAATATTACAGGTCGCCAATTTTTATCCACATTGTTTCAGTTAAAGTTTGTTTTCTCATTCACTGAAATACATTCTAGGTCCACCTACATGTTCCACAAGGCCAGACACGAGGCCAACGAGGGGGAGAAACTGACCTGTCTGGTGTGCAGCTCAACATTCAAGACCAAGGAGGAGCTCAAAGCTCATGTCAACACACACAATCGTTACAAGCGGGAGCCTGAAAAACCACGCAAGCTGAGCTGCCCTGATTGTGGCAAACAGTTCACTGCCCTCAAAGATATTCGTAGACACAGTGTGACACACACAGGGGAAAGGTAACTGTGGTTGAACTATATTACTTTCTCTTGTGATGAAAGCTTTGGGAAAGAAAATTGGTTCAAATAAAGAATATTTTATAAAGATTTTAAAATATGAAATGCAAAAGAAAATTGAAAAATAAATGATTGTCACACAATTTAGCCCAAAGATCTCTTTCATGTTTTTGGTAATAAAACTATTTGGTGGCCTTCCGAGCAATGCTAGAGGTTTAGAACTTTATTAACCTCTATATCTTTTATTTTTGTTTAATAAAAAGAATATTAAAATGCACAATGTGAAAAGGATTGGCCACTGTAATGTGCTAAAATGAAAAAAATTAATCTATCCCAATATGCCTTAGGGAGGGTAATTCTTGTTTTGACATAATTTGTAAATAAACCCGGTTATCTAACTTAGGAGCTCCATAAAAATAACTCAAGCTTGTGTTCCTATTTACAAAATTTGGTGGTAACATTCAGGAGTATTCTTAGGTAACATTCAGGAGTATTCTTAGGTAACATTCAGGAGTATTCTTAGGTAACATTCAGGAGTATTCTTACCAGAAGTAAGGCAAATAAATAAAAGTCTCTTAAAGGCAATGTTAAAGCATTTTATTTTACTATTATTAATTCACCAAATGATTATTTGCGACTAATGATAAATAATGAAATTTGTACACACGTGCAAACCTTACATTGTCATAGTTTCATCATATATTGGTGTCCCCTTTGTTCTATTTTTACAGGCCTTTTTTATGTGAGCACTGCCCACAGACATTTGTGCGCAAGGACCATCTCCGCCGTCATTATACCTCCAATCATAAAAAGGAACTGTATGACATGCAGCTCAAAGCTAACCCTTATGGCTGCAGGGCCTGTCTTATTGTCTTCAAGAAGCTGGAATATTTGGACTACCACAACAAAACAACTCATCCCAATGGAATCCAGGAGGAAGAAGACAAGTCACAAAAAGACAAACCGGTGAGAATCGGCGCCAAGAACCCTGGTCAAGATGCGATCAATTCCACTTCTGGTTTACAACAGCCAGTGATTAAGGTGATAAAACCAGCAGCACCGAACACGATGGTCAAGCGCATTCTCATGCAGAAACCAACAGATGATGATGTGCAGGGCATCCTGCTGCCAAAGTTCCAGCAGAGCCAAGAAAAACCAGCTCCACAGCCGTCAGTGTCACAAGCTCAGTGTACTGAGTCTCAGCCTGTCTTGCCCGACCCTTTCTCCATCAACGTCATCAAAGTCCAGCAGCCCAACCAGCAGATCATTACATCGAGCCTGCCCGTGGCTTCTTTCATCTACCCGGCCACTATACAGCTGACGTCGGCCTCCCAAACCCCTGTGTTTGACATGGAGGACCCTGGGTGTGTGGAGCTTGGTGGCACAAACATCAAGACCATACCGTTCCACTTCCCAAACCGAGTGCTCAGCCAAGAGCAGTTACACAGCCTCATCAACTCACGACAACAGCTTGAGAACCAACAACAACAGCAAAATCAACAACAGCAGCAGCAGCAGCAAAATCAACCGGAGCAGCAGCCAATACAGCAAAAACAAATGCAGATCATCCACCAGCCGCTGCAGAATGTCCAGCAGGACCCGAGCACAGGTGCAATGTCCATGCCAGTCCAGCAGCTGCAGTTGCATCAGCAGTTCTCGTTACAGCCAGCTCAGGGGATACCCCAGACCGTAAGCATCCAAGATCTCCAAAACTCTGGCAACACAAACTTTGTCATTTTTCACAGACAAAACTTCATGGGGCTGCAGGGTCTGAGCCTGGCCGAACCCGTCACGGTCATTAAAGATGCCGCCCTGTATAACAAGCAGGCTGGACAGCCTGTGTTTCAGGCGCACGTAAAGCCGGAGTCTGTCATTAATCATGAAAACAGCTATTTGTTCAAATACAACGGCCAGATTCTAAAAGCCAGCCTGTCGAGGCCAGATAATTGTTACACCACGATTGACGGCACGCCCATGGCCCAGATTTTAAATGGATCCATCCAAAGCAAGGTGGTGGATCAGGAGAGGGCTAGCGAGTTCAAAGGTCAGTGTATTTCAGATGCAGAGTCGACGAGGATCATCTGCCAGATGGGGGCCACGGGTGGTAATAGCTTTCTTTCCGGCGGCGGTACCAACAACAACATGTTGACTGATGACCAGGGTGACATGCTGGGCGGTCACCAGCAGATCCAGGATGATCAAACGCAACTGCAACAGCAGGCGCAGGCACACCAAACACAGTTACAACAGCAGCATGCCCAAATCCAGCAACATCAAATGCAGGTACAGCTGCAACAGCACCAACTGCAACAGCAGCAATCGCAAGTCCAGCTTCAACAGCAGCAATCACAAGGTCAACTTCAACAGCAGCAATCACAAGTGCATTTACAGCAACAACAGCAAATGCAACAGCAAGCACAAGCACAGTTACAACAACAGCAACAAACACAAAGTCAGCCACAGCAGTTGTTACAGCAGCAAGTCCAGCCACAGCAGTTGTTACAGCAGCAAGTCCAGCTGCAGCCGTCTGACCAGCAAGAGCTGACCAGTTTCACTCTGTCTTGGGCTGACAGCTTCGACTTTGCACCTGCTGGAGAGCTTTCCATTACTACTGACTCCAGTCAGGTGGACAACTTGGGCTTTTCAGGCAATTTCCTCCAACAGCCCACGGTGCTGGATCAGCAGCAGCTTCAACAGCTCCAACTGCAGAACCAGCACGGCTCCCAACTGTATACAATCTCAACAGCTTGTACCATCGCTGATACCTGAACACAAGTGAAATCACACCTGATTTGTGCTTGATTATTGAATAGATTGTAGAGGAAATAGATTGACATGTTGACAACTTGCTACCAAAATGTGTGGGTGTGTTATGGTAGGACATATGTGCTGATGTCACAGGCCTTTTTCTAGATAGATCTAAACAGTAGATGACGTCATCGTTGACATCATTTGAGAGGGCGAGTGAGATGGTAGAAGGTAGCAAGTCTGTTAACTTTTTTTGCAACGTTTTTCCTCTGCAATATTTTTTAACCAGCACAGAATTAGTTCTTACTCTTGGTGAAGACAGAAGATCGCTTGTTCTACCGTTTATTGAAACTGATCACAGCTTTTGTAAAGCGGATTCGCTACAGTCTGTTAAATTGTTTATTCGTTAATCAGTGCTAAAACAGCTCAACTTTTGTATTGATGATGCCAATAAATACTGTGCTATATGTCTTTCAGTAAAAAAAAAAATGATTGTCAGATTCGTTGGAGATGTCTTTCTTTGTCAGATTCATTGGAGATGTCTTTCTTTTGATGTGACCACCTGTTATTTAAAATGCTCTAATTTCTATTTTCTCACATCAAAGTTGCAGATATTATTTATACCTTGAATTCTCTCTTTTTTTTAAAAATTCTATATTGTTTTTTCTGTTCATCAAGTGGTAGGTAAGTCACCTACAGCACATCAGTGAATCAGACACCTGATTTACTCACAAAATAATAAATGTAGCCTTAAACTGATATTAAAATATTTGAGACCATGACATTATTAACATTAAGTTTACCCAAATAAGTTTAATTTATTATTTGAATAAACAAAACAAATCAGAGTTTACTGAAATGCTTTGTATACTACCTGCCACATTGGCTCTTGTCTCTATTTTTAAGGGCATTTTTTGTGTGTGTGATTATGAAGTTCCATTTTATATCAATTTTTGTTAAAATGTTTATTGAACTGGTTGTGATCTATTAGGGACTCTCACATAAACTTATTGCTTCAACATTGAATGCAGGAAATGAACTTTTGCTTTATTTCATTAATGCCAAAGAACAATATTACCCAAAAAAAAGATGTTTTGAAAAAATGCCTTCTTTTTAATTTTTTTTTTATGGTTTGTTCTATAACTAAGAATTTTCTATAATGTATTTTGCTACATGTAACGCTCGTCTTTCCTGTATCATCACAGCAGACCTGTTTACCCTCAGACTCTTAAAATCGTACAATTTCATCACAAAATTGTTCAATGCATTATCTTAATAGTAAAAAAAACACCATACAGTATATATAATGTTTACACCTCAAAATCGTACATTGTACGCCAAAATCGTAAGAGTAAACAGGTGTGTCACAGTGAACAGTGAAAACAAATATATAATTCATTGAATTTTACATGTTGTCTGAGATGAGATTTGGGGTTAAATGGTTTAAACGGAATTGAACAGACGTTCAATTAATTATGGGTTTAATTTTTAACACTTAGTCACTTAATTGTGTTCGCAGAGTGAAAGAATTAAAAAGAAAAAAAAACTTATTTTAAAATTTCCAGGTTCTTTAATAAAATCCCTTTAAAAAAGATATTGGACATCAAATTTATTTGCCTTAAGTTTTGAAATGACCATAAGAAAAATGTATAATTTTTTACAAAAAAAATGTATACGTGATAAAAAAAAAATTGAAAGAAAGCCACATTGGGTTGTACCTGTACCGGTTCAGTGGGAATGGCACCACTATGCAAACTGGCGCAAACTTGAAGTCTCAATTTGAGATTATACTCGCACGTTGAAAGCGACTAACAATGTGTGTTGAAGGGCGGTCAAGTTTTAATGGAAGTTGACAGACTGGAGGTTTTGATCAGTTGACCAAGTACCTGGTATTTTAATGAAACGTCAAAAGACGCATTTACCAACTTAGTAGAAAATGAAAGAATAAAACTGTGGCCACAAGTCCCCCTTCATGGACTGATAGAGATTGAAAGGAAACAAGTAGTGAGAGGAAGTTGAGTGGATCCAATGTTATCAGAGCTTCACCATACTTTCTGCACACACAGTTAGATTGTGTCTTTGACTCTACCATGTCTTTATTGCACTTTTATAACAGCTCATTGTACTGCTGGATTTGTAAAACATGTACACTGTCTCCGTCTCATGGCTCAGACTTAATACATTGGGACTAAAAAGTAAAACATGTCCATTGTCTCCGTCTCATGATGCATACTTAATGATTAGGTTTTGTGGAAGTTTCAAATGAATTTTTTAAAATGATACCGTGATCAAATGTATGTTGCAAAACTGATGTTACGTGTATGCTGTATAACATTACATACTGTTGAGCTTGACTTTATCATTTCTCATTCCTTATTTCATAAGCTGCCAGTGTTTATTGTGTATGATTTTAAAATGTGTTAAGGTTTCCAGATTTTATACTGCTTAAGCTTTCTTGTAAGATACACCATGTATTAATTGTTACTTTGATATGTGCAATTTCTATAAACCTGTTACAAAAGTATGTAAATTCTATATATATATGTTTAAGTATTCATTGAGTTTAATTATAACACAGAATGATTGTTACTTTGAAAACCTGTTGTACTAAGATTATTTGTGTAAATGGCTAAGATACAACTATGGCTGATTTGTACAGCATTATTTCAAAAGGGCCTCCCTGGAATAATATTGTCTATTTTTTTCTAAATTTCATTCCTCGTGATTTAAAACGCCAAATCTGCATACATTATTTTTTTTTAAGAGGTTTTTTTGTGTGTTTTTTGCAATGATCTTGTTAAAAATGGGACGGGGGGGGGGGGGGGGGGGGGGGTGAAAGGGTGGGGGGAAAGATGACTGGTTGTTGGTGAAAGATGACTGGTTGTTGGTGAAAAATGACTGGTTGTTGGTGAAAGATGACTGGTTGTTGGTGAAAGATGACTGGTTGTTGGGGAAAGATGACTGGTTGTTGGTGAAAGATGACTGGTGGTTGGGGAAAGATGACTGGTGGTTGGGGAAAGATGACTGGTTGTTGGTGAAAGATGACTGGTTGTTGGTGAAAGATCACTGTTGGTGAAAGATGACTGGTTGTTGGTGAAAGATGACTGGTTGTTGGTGAAAGATGACTGGTTGTTGGTGAAAGATGACTGGTTGTTTGGGAAAGATGACTGGTTGTTGGTGAAAGATGACTGGTTGTTGGTGAAAGATGACTGGTTGTTGGTGAAAGATGACTGGTTGTTGGGGAAAGATGACTGGTTGTTGGGCAAAGATGACTGGTTGTTGGGGAAAGATGACTGGTTGTTGGGGAAAGATGACTGGTTGTTGGGGAAAGATGACTGGTTGTTGGTGAAAGATGACTGGTTGTTGGTGAAAGATGACTGGTTGTTGGGGAAAGATGACTGGTTGTTGGTGAAAGTTGACTGTGTAGAAGAGCAGTGGCCCCGCGTGACTTACATAATGTTTTAATTTTTTTTGGTGGGTGGGGCGCTTCAGAAAAAGTTGTAGGCATTATTTTAATATTGTTGGATTAAATATGTAAATGATGATGATGATGATTTGAGTGCTTTTATAGCGCTTGTGTCCATGTTATTTTAGCATGCACACAGCTCTCGGGTGTCCTAAAACGGATTGAAAGAAATAAGTCTTTTAAATGTTTCTTAAATGACTTTAAATCATTTTCTATTTCCCTCAATGATTAAGGCAAACTGCTCCATAATTTAGGCGCAATAGCTTCAAAAGAGCGCACTCCCGTATGACTTCTTTCTGTGTTCATCCACACTGGGAACCCTCAGTAAGGACTCTGTTGAAGAGCGCAGGTTCTGTAAGGATGCATGTTTAGATATCAGCTTTTGAAAGATATTCAGCCGCGGAGCCTTCTATACGCCAGGGACAGACTTTTGTAGTCAATGCGCTCACTCATAGGGAGCCAGTGGAGATGTTTAAGAACTGTGGTCAGATTTCTTTATACACGATGCCATACACAATGCGTGCTGCAGTATTTTTGTACCTTCTGACGTCTCTGAATTTTGTTTTGAGGTGGTAACCCCCACAAACAACTGTTACTGTAATCTAATCTTGATACAGAGAAAGAAAATCTTACACCTACTTACACGAAACGAGAAAAGCTTGAACAATTATGATGTTGATGCATGAATGTGTGTGTATTTAAATAGAATATTACGAGTATTACAGTTTTTAAAATGCAAATACTATAAGTATAATACGCCACAGAGGCCACACATTGATGCAAAACATACACAGCCTCCTCAAAGTAAATTGGAACTGCTCAGGTGAAAGCTCTTCTGTCTACGTTGGACCTGCTTCTTCCCTGGATGTGTGCGCATGCGTGGAACAACGTAACACTACGTCACTGGAACTATGAAGTACACTGTTCCATCCAAGAATTTTTGTTGTCTCCTTCTCAGATGAGATGAATGACGATGACCCCTGACGTCGTGAGTAATTTATCATAGTATTAACCAATATTCTGTATGAGTATTAAAGAAAAGGGGAAAGGTCAGTAAGGTGTATATTATTAATTTTGAGTGGGGGAAAAAAAGGGGGTTGCTGCAGGTTCACAGTGCTGCACACAAGCCGTCACTGTCAATTAAGAAAACTAACATTAAGGCATGATAGTGGCGAACCGATTTGTCTTTCATTGATCTGTTGATTAATTTGTTGTTACCCTGTCCATTTGTCAAGTCTATTTATTAGAGGTTTCATAAAAGGATTTTTTTTTTTTTTT